AGATCTATAAAGAACTTCTCAAACTCAACACCCAAAAAACAAATAATCAAGTCAAAAAATGGGCAGAAGACATGAACAGACACTTCTCCAAAGACCTACAAATAGCTAACAGACACATGAAAAAATGTTCATCATCATTAGCCATCAGGGAAATTCAAATCAAAACCACACTGAGATACCACCTTACATCAATTAGAATGGCAAAAACTGGCAAGGCAAGAAACAACAGATGTTGGAGAGGTTGTGGAGAAAGGGGAAACTGTTGGTGGGAATGCAAGTTGGTACAGACACTTCGGAAAACAGTGTGGAGGTTCCTCAAAAAATTAAAAATAGAGCTACCCTATGACCCAGCAATTGCACTACTGGGTATTTACCACAAAGCCACAGATGTAGTGAAAAGAAGGGCCATATGCACCCCAATGTTCATAGCAGCAATGTCTGCAATAGCCAAACAGTGGAAAGAGTCCAGATGCTCCTCAAGAGATGAATGGATAAAGAAGATGTGGTCCATATATACAATGGAAAATTACTCCACCATCAGAAAGGATGAATCCCCAACTTTTACATCAACATGCATGGGACTGGAGGAGATTATGCTAAGTGAAATAAGTCAAGCAGAGAAAGTCAATTATATGGTTTCCCTTATTTGTGGAAATAAGGAATAGCATGGAGGACATTAGGAGAAGGAAGGGAAAAATGAAGGGGGGGGGAAATTGGAGGGGGAGACGAACCATGAGAGACTATGGACTCCGAGAAACAAACTGAGGGTTTTAGAGGGGAGGGGGTGGAGGGATGGGCTAGCCCGGTGATGGGTATTAAGGAGGGCATGTACTACATGGAGCACTGGATGTTATACGCAAACAATGAATCGTGGATCACTACATCAAAAACTAATGATGTATTGTATGGTGATTAACATAACATAATTGAATTAAAAAAAAAAAGAATGCTTTTCACTAAATAATTTCCCTTTAGAAGTATGTGATATTATTACCTGCTCCACACAGATTTGAAGGGTGGTGGATTTGCATCAGCATTACACTTGAGATTAACACCTTTTCTTCCTACAAACCAATTCCCATCATAGCCTGTTACCGAAACTTCTGGAGCATCTATAAAATAAATGCATAACAGTATAAATTATCTTTTGTTAATGATAAATGCAACATGTAATGACAAAGCATTAACATAATGACTAAACTTCAGAAGAACAGAAATCATTTTTCCTTCTGTCAATATACATAACCATTGTGGAAGACTGTAGTTAATAAATATTAGTTGACTGAAAGAATAAGTGCATGAATAGACAATGAGTACCCAAACACTAGGTAACTATACCAAGTACAGTTCTAGTTATTATGGACACTGAATATAAGGATATTCACAAACATATAATCACCAAGAACAAAATATAAGAGTCCTATTATGAGAAGTGTAGATTTATGAACAAAGGAAATACATTATACTATTTAATTTGATGAGACATGGCATTTAAGTTCCAAGTCCATATAAAACTGTCTTCAAAGAAATGTTTAATCGGAAAGAAAGTATCTCCTGAGAGATACAAAGTCAATTACAGAGATTAGATTCCCTGTATTACAATTAATTAATATTCTATGGGTAAGGAGAGATGTGACACAAACTTTCTAAGGCTATAATTACAACTAAAGTAAGTTATCTGTGGCCTCAACTGTTCTAAAACATTAAATTTTAACCATTCAATGCACCCAAACGTCTTTTGGTATATGTGCAATATAGTTAGTTAAATAAGCAATTATCCATATTTACCAGCAATATAAATTTATGCATTTAAGCCATACAATCCAATACGAATCATTCATTCAACATCATATTGTTTAACTCCTAATAAGTGGCAGGCACTGTTTTAGGCATTTGGTATAAATACAGACTCTGTATTCGTAAAATTTATTTTCCCATAGTTTTTAATAAGGAAGAGAATATTTTAAAAGTATTAAACTAAAACCTGTTATGAGAGCAAGAAGGAAAAGAACAGGATGATATAGAGAAGAAGAACCTAATTTAGACTGGGGATGAGGCTGAGGAAGGTCATGAAAGCTTCCCTAAGGAAACGTCACTTATGCATAGTACAGGGACCCTCCTGTGAGTTACACAGTAAACTAGATAAAGAGTACAGGATCAGATGGGAAGTCAGAGACCAGGTCAGTTCAATTCTGTCAGGTAAGCTTGATCTATTATCAAGCAATGTTTACAAAAAAGAGTAGTAAAAAATTAAACTTACACTAAAGTACAATTAATTACCTTAGTAATTTTAAGAAAGAAATGCCTGCCTCATAAATGACAAGAATTAACATTTTTGTAACTTACAACTGGTACTAAAAAATGTTGCTGAAAGAACAGTAGAGAGATCTGTGAGTTTAATTTCTTTTAATAGGAGGAGGGAATAGGTATTAAGGTAAGGTATCCCCAAAGAAAACCTCTAAATTTTGAGATCTGAACTTTGGATATAAGATTTTATCTCCTTAAACTGTATTCACATGTTTTATAGGTCCCAATTAAAAAGATGAAAAAAATCATGAGTACTCTAAGAATATTTTAGGAGCAAGGCAATAAATCTAAGCCATAATTATATAAGTCTTACATTAAAAGAAATATTTAGGATTGCATTCAAGCAAACAACAATCAAAAAAGCATAATGTACATAATACAAATGAAGAAAATTTCAGTCAATTACTAGATACAAGGAAGGACATTATATTTAAGAAAAATATTAATAGTACTTACAATTGGGATCTGAATTTTACAAGAAAAAGGAAAAAGTTAAGAGTCTGTGAAAGTAAGGTAGGAAAAGGAAAAAGAGAAATTTTAATTGGATTCTCCAGAGAAGTGAAAAGAAGGTATCTGCACTCAAGAATAAAATGGTAGTAACATTCATGTAAGATAACTTCCCAAGTTCAACCCTATAAATGTTGAAAAAGATTCTTAGAATTAGCTTTAGAAACCATTACATCAAGTGTAACGAATATGTGCAATTTAAAATTCCATGTATGTCATATCAAAAAATAAAACACTAAGAACAAAAACTGTAACGCCTCCTTTTAAAAACCTATTAATTTTCATTATCCTTGTTTTAAGTTACGTGCATTATCACTTTTTCTTCTGCTCAAAATTTTTAAATGCAACACAAAGAATGTGTCAACAACTGAGCTAACGTATAGGAAAAAGTATATACACATACGTATATACACATACAAACTTTACACACAAGGGAGCATCCCTTAACAAAAAAATAAAAACAGGAGACGGGCCAAGCTTTGAACCTTATCTACAATGGTTATTATCCCAATGATGTCTTTAAAATACTGTCTTACTATATGAGAATCTTACAACATGAACAGTAAAATCAGATGAGAAATAGTCCTGGAAAAACAAAGATTTTCAAACTAATTAATATGCATCTAGGCAGTAAAAGATTCTTGCTGAAAACATCATGGGTAGCATGAATAAAACTGAGTAATAGTTAAATTAATCGAACTGGCAAAGTAGTTGTTTGTCTCTAAGTATTGCACATTTTGAGGTATAAATTTCCACAATTTGCTTAAGTCCAGCCTATTTTTAAGATCTAAAAAGGAGAAGGCTAAATAATTTTAGGTTGGAGAGCGACTTTAAAGTCACTGTCCATCTTTACAAACTAATAAAAATGTTCTGGTTAAACGAAATTTCCATGAAGGTATTTTTAAAAATTAAGAAAAAAAAAAGTCAATAACGAAAAGATGTAAGAATATCTGAATATTAAATATTCAAACTAACAAGTCTGACATAGAATTATGTCACAGGGAGAAAGTTAAAATAAAATGCATGACATGTTTAAAAAGCAAATGTTATTGTTTACTTACACTGTATATCTAATATGAAAGAATATCGGATGTCCTTTTCCAAGGCTGGATGTTTTACAACACAGGTAATCCGCCTTCCTCTAGCAAATCTGGTTGGAAACAGCTTGTACTGGCTGACAACTGTTGCCGTTTCATTTGGAAAAGAAGTTGTAGTGGATTCCATTTCACCAAGATCACCTTCCCAGTCAATATGTGCAACTGGTTTTCCAGTGGCTGCGATACAGATGGCTGCTACCGTTTCATTTCCTCCATCAATTAAAGAATCTGGCCCTTTTATCAGGCTCACAGTGGGCTCAACTGTTCAAATTTTAAAAAATAATTAGTCACATTTCAAAGAAGAATATATTTACATCTTTCCAAGCCGTATCTAGCCATATTTCATAAACTTAGAGGCAAATGCATATAAAATCTACACATACGCTTTTAAGTAATGCCAACATCAGCTGGATTCTTGGAAGAGAAGATCATGAGCCAAGACTAACAAGAAGCTCAGCAAGACTTGAAACCCTTAAAGAAGGTTCTCCCTGGGAGAGATACGATTTTTCTTTATAGGGACCGATGAGTTTGCCCCAAAGTTAGTATATGAAAAATTCCTGTAAGTTGGATAATTTTCATTATGAGATTTTAAATATTACTCTGAAAGGGGAAAAGACGTAGTTTTAAGACACAGTGCTTCATTTTGCAGCAAAAATGCTTATAGAAAATATAAATTAAGTTACCAGTATGGAAACTACACTGTTAAAATGTAACGTCAATAATAGTTACATTTATTAGAATGTGTATCCCATTATCTTATTCTAGTATAAGAAAGGTCCTTAGCAAGTGAAAGTAACCTTAATGTTTAGACCTTTCAATCTACTTTCCATATATCCTATCTCTTCATATTTTCCAGCAAATTTCATGTGCTTCTTTCTACATAAATTCCTCAGTCTCACCTCATAAATTGTCTCAAGCCTACAGTTTATTCTGTATATTAAGTTTTTATCTCAATAACTTATTTATTTCCAAAATTTCCAAACGGTTTTCAATGCCATCTGTTCTTGATTTGTGTCTAACTATTTTTGTTTCATAATCTACTCGAGATACTAATATTTTCCTTATGTATTTCCTTATGTATTGTATAAGATGTATTATTGTAAAATAACAAAGGGGAAAGTACATACAACACATGTAATGAATACTTTATATTGTAAACAACACACATCTTAATGGAAAACATTAGTACCTTCCAGGTCACTCAACATGCTTCTTGATCTTAACACCTACCTGCCCTAGTATGAAATCATTATACTGACTTTGGAAATAAATTTTTGCTTACTTTCCATGACAGGTCTACAAGCAACAACTACGAAGCCAAACAACAATGGCATTTTACCTGTTTCTGAACTTTACATGAATGGTATTGAACTATATGCATTTTTTTTTGACTCAACTTTGTGCTCCTGAGATTAATTTATTTGAGAATAATCAGACTTAATTTATTATTTTGGAATTCGGGGTTCTTTTTACTTTTAATTTTTAAATCATTTAAATTTCCATGCAATTCTATAAATTATCAACTGCTATACAGTTTATTTACCATTGGACATTGGTGCTATTTCCTGTTGAGTATAAACAATTTTACAAGAAACGTTCTCATTGGTGTATCATGGTATATTTGTACGGGTGTTTCTCTAGTTTGTCCCTTGGAGTGGAATTGCTACTACTCTTTAATTTCAACTTTACGAGATAATGCCAAAAAGCTTTCCAAAGTAACAATTTACTCCCAATCTTAGAGATCCTATCAGTTCAGACACTCACCACAGTTGATACTGTCTGACTTCTCAATGTCTGTCCACCTTATATATAATGGCGTATTGTCGAGACTGTATTTTTTAATTTCTCATATTATGAATGAGGTTAAAGGTCTTTCCATGTTTAGGCCATTTGGAATTTCTTCTGCAAAATGCCTATTAAAGCCAACTGCTTTTTCTTATTGATTTGGAAGGAGAGCCCTTTTTTAAATGACATGTGGTAAAAATATCCTCTCTACTAGTTTAGGGCTTATCTTTTTGCCCAATGGTGTGTTTTGATGAGCAGAAGTTTTTAATGCAAATGTACTAAAATTGATCAGTTTTTAATTTCTTTTATTGTTAACTGCTTTTATACACTAAAAATTACTTCGCTACTTTAAGGCCAATTACTATGTGATTTTTTTATAGTTTCCTGCAGAAATTTTATAGATTGACTTATCTCTTCAAATGTTAAATGATGCTATTTAATAATCTGTATCTGATAATTCCAACATCCTATATCTTTGCATGTCTGTTTCTGTTGTCTTATTTGTGCTGGCTGCTCCTTGTGAGGTCTTCTTTACTTGTATACCTGCCGATTCAAGGAGACTATATGCCTGTGTTTGAATAACTAAGGTAGAAATAATGTGAGGTCTAGAATAAAGATACTTTTCCTCTAGAAAAGATCTGAGTTTTCTTCTGCCAAACTCCTGAAATCACTAACCAGTCCAGGATCTCCTGAATTTAAGATCAAACCACTTAGGTCATTATAAACCTGTAAGTCTATAAGAAGGCTGGTTTATTTCTAGTTTCCTACTATTCCGAAAATGTAAGCCTTTGGATACCAGGTGAATAAGAGAAGAGTTATTAGACATCCCCCATCTTGAGCGGAACTACACTTAGAAATTTGTCTGTCTTCTCAAGGCTTTCAAAATCGCAGCTTAGCATCTCAGGTGTTTCTTCTCAATTATCAAAAGTCCTCAGGTTGAATGCAACTTTCAGTGCTAGGCTTATTTCTGTTTTTACCTACTCCTAGATTTTGATCTACTTATATTTCTCACTATGTTCTTACTTCCTTGAAGCTTTCGATGGTATTTTATATTTCACTCCCATGGGAGAGTTGGTCTGAACAACTTACGCCATCATTAATAGAAACTTTTAAAGTCAATTTTAAGTTACGTTATTTCTGTTTTTTCTGAAGGGAATCAATCTGGTTGTAGACTTTATTTGCTTTCTAAAGTTACTTTTCTCATATATTTCAATATTTTAGTTAACTTCTCTATAACCTTCCCTGTCTAGCAGTTTTGCTGTTGCTTCCTCTTAAGATGCTACCAATGCCGTGTACTTGAATGGAGGGAACATGGTTTTCCCAGCCCTGTGTGAACACCAGGATTGTTACTTAGATCTAATGCTTTCTGCTGGTTCTTTCCCCAAACCTCAAAAGCTTCCTCTCCCATGGACACAGATCAGTACTAACCCAAAGACTTCAGAGGGCCCTTCTGTAGATCTCTAAAACACACACTCTCTGATGCTCTCTGCTTTCCAGTATTTCTGCTCCACGAATTCTAATCACCTGTCCTCCCTGAATTCCAGTATGTCTCTTTTACTCCCTGACACCATCATTCTCTGCTTCAAATCCTTGTCACTGAGCCTGGAAACTGCCTAAGGAGGAAGCTAGAACATTATGGCGACTCACCTTGTTTGTTTTCCTTCTTTCAGGGATCATAATCCTACACTGCTTATTGTCCAATGACTAAAAACTGTTTCTTATTTGCCTGGTTTCTTGTTCTGAGAGGGTAAATCCAGTCCCTGTATTCCATCATCCACAGCAAGGGAAGTCTATTTTTTTTTTAATTATGTTCAGTTAGCCAACATATAGTGGAAGTCTATATTTTTACTGCAAAAGCAGTATTTCTAAAAATTGGGAAAATGGGGAAAAATTACCCACAACGACAATATCCTAATGCAGTTATTATCATTTTCTTGGCATACCTACAATTTTTTGGGTCTTCTCCTCAGGCAGCAACACTTCTCTTAACCATAATTTTAACAACTATAAAGTATCCCATCAAGAGAAGTAAGCAATTGCAAAACAACTGTTCTACTGTGGGGCATTTGTTGCTAAATTTTCCCAAAGCTTTTTTGTTATATCACATTCCCTTAATTTGGTTTCTATTAATACCACTCCACTGAAACTCTAATGTTACCATGTAATCTAGGCTTAATATTTTTGTTTGCCATTCTCTTTGACTAATTTGGTAGAAATTCAAACTTTGACACAGTTCTTCACATTCAGTTCCAAAAGAATTAAGTACTAATGCCTTAAGGTACCTGTTCTAAGTAATGAATTGTCATCTGGGCTGTACATTTAGAATACGAGCTGTGCACCATTCTTAGGAAAACTGAAAAAATGGTTATTCAAACCATGTTCTATAGGGCTTAATACTCACTGTGGAAAAAAAACTGCTAGAATAATCTTAAAACTTTTATCTTCTCCTGTTACAAGTAGTATTATTTTGCCTGAGTTTTTCTCAAAGCTCTCGTTGAGCTCTTCATCTCTATTTCTTCTAACCTTTGCCCTAATAAATACTGGGTTCTGGGCCTTCAATTACTGTTTGCATCTCCCTTAGAAATTTTTATCTGATACACACTACTATCTACATGATCTCTAATTTTCTTCAATTTTGATACAAGGCCTGACTCCACAGTTTCTAACCACCTGCCTGGTGTTGTCTGCCTATATATCCTCAAACTCAATAAAGCAAATGCCTCCCAATCTTAGCCTCCCAGTCCCAACACCTGGTTTTCATTCAGACACGTCCATTGGAATTAATAACACAATTTACTCAATCACCAAGGTTCAAAACCTGTTTATGTTCAAACCTCCTTTGTTTCTTGTATCCAATCAGTTACGAAGTCTTGACAGCTATTCCTTTGTAATAGCTCCCTTCTTCCCTCAAGTGGCGGAAATCAGAAAATTAATTTCAAGCTTTCATGGCCACATGACTGAGGGATTATGATTTTAGGACTTCATTTCAATCCATCAAAAACACCAGACTAATCTTCATAAATCACAACTTTTATCACATTACTCCCTGAATCTCATCTACTATGACTTAAATATCCCTCCAAGCAAGGTGAGAAGGTGATCAAAGCAGTGTTTCTCAAACTGTATTCTGCATACAAATCACTTAGAAATCCTGCTAAAATGTAGACTTATCATTCAGTAAGTTTGGGAGGAGCCTGAAATTCTGTATTTCTAACAAACTCCCAAGTGCTGCCAATGCTGCTGGTTCAGCAACCACACTTCACATAGCAAGAGTCTGAGGGTAAAAGACCTTACCTTACACCTTACACCAACTTGGCATTTCTTAGTAATACAAAGCTCAAATTCCCTATCATAACATTCAAGTTACTTTAATGCAGTCCTACTCAACCTTTCTAGCCTTCAATTCTGGTACTTTATATAAATCCTCTGAACAATCAACAAATTATTCAGTGGTTCCATTAATGAGGGTTCTCAACAATGAGCGATCTCTCCCCTCCTCTTCCAGAGGACACTTGGCAATGTCTGGAGACATTCTAAGCTGTCATAACTGCTACTAGCATCTGGTGGGTAGAGGTCATGGATGCTACCAAACAGTCTACAATGGACATGACACCTCACTACAACAAAGAATTCCAGCCCAAAATGTCAACAATGCTGACGCTAAAAAGAACTCTGCCCTAATGTATGTTGTTTTCTGCCTCCCTGCACTGGCTCATTTATTCTCCCTATACTTACTTCCCTTTTGCTTACCCCAAACCTACCCAAAATTCAAGGACTTTTGTAGACTACTAAGTTTCACCAATCCATTCCTACACCCTACTTAAATAACACTTAAATGGTGTATGACTGCTAAATACTAGGAACTCTTGTAGGCCTGAGAGAGATACAGTTAAATTTTGAAGTACAGAGTTGCAGTCCACCATGTGTTTACAATGGAGAAAACACACAACAAACAGTATGGTAACTGCAGCAATAGCTAAGTTCAAGATACAATGGCAAAAGAGCCAAAAAAGAAAAAAGAAAAAAAAACACATCAAACTGCAAGTGGGTATATATTTCAACAATGGCTTCTAAAAGGCTGTGGTTTGATAAATAGCAGTTAAATACAAGAATGTAGGAAGAGAGGAAGAAAAAGAAAGCAATCCAAGAAGAAAGAAAAACACATGTAAAACATAAACAGGTATTACCAGAACTGCAAATAGTTCATCATGATTATTAAATTTGTGTTATTAGGAAAAGTGGAGCAAGAGATGAAATACATGAAGCTAGAGACGTAGGCATGGGTAAAATCATGAGTAGTCTTGTACTATAAACAGTCTTAAGTTTTAAACCACTGAGTACTGTATTAATTTAGGGGGAATTACTAAAATTTATGGCAAAAAAAGCCTTTATTCCCATGGGTTCCCTCTTCCACACACAAACTATTATTTTCTAGCCAATGAACTTCTTTTGTGACCTTTTTTACCCTGATGGCCTGCACTTGATTTTTCAGATATTTATTTTATGCCTTGCCTTCTCATCAAAATGTTTCTCAAAAGTATCAATTTCATAAACATGAGTTATATTTTCCCACAGCTGTTCGGGCAGTGTCATAAACATATGAAGTCCTCAAATATTTAATTTTATTTCTATTTTTAAATAGTATCTTTCAACATGAAAAAATATCTGACAGAGCTGGATGAAATGGCTCTCCTGCATGTCAGAGACCCTGAAATGATGCCTTTAAATCTTAGGGGCTGTGAACTTGTTCGCTGCTGGGGAAGCAGAAACTAAGACCAAGTGAGGAGCACAAAGGGCTTTTTACTGGAGTGTAACACCCAGGAGGAGAGTGAAGGAGGGTTAGGGAGGGGAGCTATCAGCAGATCCAACCAAGTCCCCAACAGACAAACAGGTAGATGCAGAGCAGAGTGCCCATTAAAGGAGTCCTACTGTGAGTGGAAATGGCTAAGGTTGCTATTAATCTTTACTCTATTATTCTAAAAGTACAAGCCAGTATTTCCAAATTGGTATACCTTTCACTGCAAGTGGCTATCTTAATGCTGATAAGCTCATTTTAAATTCCACCATAAATTCTAACTGTTATCAGATAGGAAAAAGCAGAAGATTGCTCATTATGAGCAATGGCCCAAGATTTAAACAGCTATGAAATGCACAGTAGCAGAAATAAAATTTCATTTCAGAAACAAACATGAAGTTTATCAATGGCTCTAAAACAACCCATTTAAATAAATGGAAAAGGTTATTTAAAAAGGAAGGTTTGAAATTTTGAGAAAGAATACTGAAAATGTCAAAAACACTGAGCACTTAGTATTATAAATAAAAAACAATTATTTCATGAAGAAAGTAAAATAACTAAGAACCACATAGCATTATATAGATAGGTAGGTAGATACAAAATTTTGTTTAAATTGAGACAGCCGAGAATCACAGAATTTTAAGACAAAACTTGAAAAATCACATTTGAATTATTTCAAATCTAGATTTATATATATACAATTACTTTAAAATCTTGAAAAAACTTTTCCTATAATCCTTGCCACTACCACCAAAATATACAATTCAAGCATACCTACCTAATACAGTTACAGTTGTAGAGGACTGAGCATTTCCAAGCGGGAATGTAACAGCTTTGCATATGTATTTTCCAGAATCAGAGAATCCTATGTTATGTAGAGTAATTGTCGCATCATTAAGTGAATAGTTTTTAAATAAGACTCTTCCCTGATACTCTCCTTGAACAGAGAATCCATACTGAGGATGATGAACTGCAACAGTCTGTGAACTTTTGCCATGGATCTTCTCCCATGAAATTTGTGTTATAGTTTCATTTACTTCAATTAAACACTTCAGTGAAACATTCTTTCCCCATACTGCTGTGACATGTGGCTCCACAATAATTGGCCCAGCTAAGGCACCTATGGGGGAAAAAATAGTTCTTAAAATAGAAAGAAGCTATACTAACATATATCATTCTCCCTCCCTTCTTCTTTCCCTCTGTCCCTCCCACAAGCCCTTCTATAGGTGCTCACCTGCGTGTCCATGCACATTCACATACACACATACATTTATGACTAAATAATAGGAAGGACTCAAAAGAGGCAGATGTTCCCAGGGCTGAATGTTAGACCCAAAGAGTGACTCTCAGATAAATCAAATACCTGCCAATATGTGTTGCAGTGGAAAAAGCACTAGATTGGACCAAGAATAAGCTTGGAAGGAGATTATTCCCCAGTCAAGCCTCCAGATGAGATCCCAGCCCTAACTGACACCTTGACTGCAGTCTTGTGAAAGACTCTTAGGCAAAGAAACCAGCTGAGCCATGCATGAATTTCTGACACAAAGAGGGATAATAAATGCATGTCGTTTTAAAGCCACTGAACTTTAGGGTAATTTATTACTTCGCAGTAGATCACTAATACATGAAGGATCTGTCAAACCAAATATAATACTAAAGTATCTTCTGGAGGGTTCCTCTATCAAGAAGCTCTATAAAAAACTTCATTTAAGACAGACCAACTACCAGAAAGCATTAATTTAAAAAACATTTATGTAAATGTGAAATCAATTTTTTTTCCCTATTTCGTGGATGAAGAAAAAAATCCCACAAGCAAAAGTTAAAATGAAATGACATCAAACTTCTCCCCTGTAATACTGACTTCCTTGGGCCAAATCTAAATTATTTTAGGACAAATAAGACTAATATTTATGAATACTAAAGTCAAGCAAGATGCTGCTCAGTGACAAGTATATTGGAACATATATATAAGCCCTTGGAGAGTGTATGACTCACATGTCTCCTGACAAAATAAATATTCAAATTCAGAAGTAAATCAATATAAACACTCACACATGGAAACTGTAAAAACAATACATTGTATAAATATCATCTTTGAAATTTAAAGTTATGTCTTATTAATATTCTTAAATACAAAAATGTAGAGGGTATCACTTTAAAAATAACCAAGAAAAATGTGTTTAAACATGTTCAAGGAGATCTAAACAACAACAAAAACTTTACAAATTATTATTTCCACCAGCCCTTTTTGGGAGAAAAAAACCATAAATGTATAAGTAAAATATAAAGAAATAGACAAACTATACCATCCAAATTGTAAATGAATTAAAAAATAGTAAGTAAACAAACAAGAGAGCAAACTGTACCATCTAGGAAATGACTGAAGATGTATTACAAAAAAGGATGACATAATAAAAAAAAATAAAAATAAAAAAATAAATTATCATAAAAACAAAACAAAACAAAAAAGGATAGACAATTCACACTGACTATACTTAACAGTTATGGAAGAAAAAGGTTTTTTTAACCAGTGTCCCAAAAAAGTATCAAGTCCTCAAAATTTACCATTGTGTTCTATCATGCTTTCAAGTGTAGATAATTACTAAGCTTTTAAAATTAATCCAAGACATATACATTTTATAAGTACTGTAATGTATTTTAGCAAGCTATCATAAGCCTAGTACTAAACCAAAAATATACAAAGGACAATTTATGAATATTAAAATTTTCACATATTATGAAATAATACCCAGCTTTGTGTTTAAAGAAAAAGACACAATGACAAAGTAGGATATTCCAAGACTGTAAGGATATTTTTAAACTATTTATCACACTGAAAGCTCACATTGACTTTCTCATTTGATGCTGAAAAGGCATTTTATAAAGTTTAGCATTCATTATCTGATTTTTTAGAAAACTCTAACAACTGAGAAAAGAAGGATTCTTAATAATAAAGTAGATTATTTTCAAATCAGTGGCCATCACCACAACACTAAAATAGAAAAAGGGGGCATTGCTATTAAAAAAAGATCAAGACAAAATGGTGCAGTATCATTATCACTGTTCAACTGACAATGGAAATTCCAGTGCAATGAGGTAAAAAAAAAAAAAAAAAAAAGAAAGAAAGAAACAGGGAAGGTAAAGCATTAGAAAGGAACAGACAGAATTATTATTTGAAAAACCTATTACCTGAAAAATCTAAAAAGGCCAAGTAAAGGGCTATTAGAACAAATAATATGGGTGCATATAAAACATGCAAAATATATCCAAAATATATAATCAGCATGTTAGGATAGGTGATAACCTTTACAAATTTATTATAGAGAAGACAATATTTGTAAAACATTAATATTTCAAATGCCCATGAATAAAGTTGTAAAGAACTATAAACCTGAGCAACTGACTTGAATAAATGTAAGATATGTCATGTTCCTGTAGGAAAACTTAATACTATTTAGACATCATATCGCCCCATATCACACAAATTTCAAAGCAACTGCAGTGAAATCTCTGATAAAAATTCCTGAAACTAGACTAGTGACAATAGCTAAGAAATATTTCAAAAACAACAATGGCCCAGTAGGAGGGAGGGGAAATGCTAAAATAAAAATAATAAAAAGCTTACTATTAGTATCTGAAAACAATTTAAAGTACACAAACTGACCTATATATATACATACACACACACACAAAAATATTGATATACAACAAAGTATTTTGTATGAGTGGGGAAATAGCAAATTAGTCAAGATGCTGAAAGGACAAGAGCTAAATACTTGGAAATAGATCCCCGCTTCACACTAAGCGCGCGCGCGCGCACACGCGCGCACGCACACACACACACACACACACACACACACACACACACAAGGACTGAAGATCAAAATGTAAAAAACAGGCACATATGCCTGCACATATACTGACAATAACTTTGTATATTCTGGCAAATAACGTTAGTTACTCCTAGAGAGTGCGATACTGAGGATTAAGGAAAGAACTTTCAGTTTTTACTTTGTGTTCCTCTTTGATGTCAAAATCATTTATAAGTAATGTTCATAATAAAAGCAAATTAAAAATAAAAATAAACAGAATTAAATCCTCCTCAGGTAGAAATGGAAAAGAGATAGGATAAGGTGTTATGGACTGAGTATTTGCACTTCCCCAAATTTTTATATTACAGCCCTAATCTCTAAAGTGATAATGTCTATAGATGGGGCCCTTGTGTGGTAATCAGGTTTATGAGGTCATGAGGGTAGAGCCCCTATGGTGACATTAGTGTTCATATGAGAAAAGGAAGAAAGACAAGCTCTCTCTCTTTCTACCATGTGAGGACAAAGCAAGAAGATGGCTATCTACAAGTCAAGAAGAGGGTCCTCACCAGGAACTGAATCTGCTCACACCTTGATTTTGGACTGCTCAGCCTCCAAAACTGTGCAAAATAAGTATCTGTTGTTTAAGCCACCCAGTCCATAGTGCTTTGTTACAGCAATCTGATCTAAGACATTAAGTATCAAAATAACCTGGGAGGGATAGTGCTAAACAACTGTGCTTACAACTGGTAAGAAGTATGGCCTAGTGAGCCACCATTACTGAAGGGGGAAGTATTGGGAGAAAGGAAAAAGAAAAAATGAATCCACTGACTCAAAAACATATTTACATTATTTAAATACACTCTACAATATTTAAATAGGGAAAGCCACTCTCAGCATAAAAGAAAAGAGAGAAAAACCACCTAGAAAAGGGTTGATAGATTTGACCAGGAAAACTGACCCCCTAGTAAACAGCTTGAGTAGATTAAAAAAACTACAAATGGCTATTTTTTAGTAAGTGTTTAATTTTACTCATAAGTATTAACATAACTATCAGGTTTTACTTTTTCATCTTTTGTTTTAATATCTAGGAGATAATGAGTAATTTTTACTTTCCAATTTTTCTACAAAATTATTCTGGGTAGTTTTTGCAAAAGTAAACTTTGGCACAATTTTCTGTTGTTTCAATCCTAAAAGCTCTTAGCAAGTTTTGATAATTTGGCTCTCCCTTAGATTCCATGAGCTTCTAATAATGTATCTCCCTTTTTGTGTTTTAGTCAGCCAAAGTGAGTTTCTGTTGCCTGTAAACAAGTGTATAATACATTTCCAATCCTAGACAAAACCCAAAAGTTAAAAACCACTTCTAAGTAAGATTTTCCCCCATGGAATCTTAAAACTGTGGAGAAACAGATTCTCCACCATGGTTCTTAGACCAAAGTCACTATTCGAATGCCTCACTTATCAAGGTCTCCCAAACACTGAGACTACCCCTTCCCCCCACTTCCCCATATTAAGTGGAGTTTGACAGGAGAGCAGAAGTGTATCCTGGAGAAACATAAATGTTAGTTTCTAAAGACCTAAATTATTTGAAGTTCTTTTTTTTTTTTTTTAAGATTTTATTTATTTATTTGACAGAGAGAGAGAGAGAGCGAGAGCAGGAACACAAGCAGGGGGAGTGGGAGAGGGAGAAGCAGGCTTCCCGCGGAGCAGGGAGCCCGATGCGGGACTTGATCCCAGGACCCTGGGATCATGACCTGAGCCGAAGGCAGACGCTTAACGACTGAGCCACCCATGCGCCCCTGAAGTAAGTTCTTCATTAAGAGTGATATAAGTCTAGAATATAAAGAGGCTAAGGAACAGCAAAGACTTGAACTTTTCATATCTGGCAAGACCCTACCTGACATTGTCAGAAGGCGTTCCTGGCTACTATACACTCTAGAGGCCAAAGAAAAACATGCCATTTGTACCATTAACTAATTAATTGACCTTATCATCCTTTCAGAGAGAAAGAGAGAGAAATGAGTGTTTTCTTCCTACTTGTAGCTCCCATGAAAACACTAGAACCATGAAAATAAAACTGTCTGGATTTTTCATGTATATTTGAACAGTCAGTCAGGTTTTAGAGCGTACAGAGAACACAAATCATTTGAAAATATTCAAAAGGAATTGTGACAGAAAAATAAAATGTAATGATTCGTGTATGATAACTTCTATGGGTTATTTAGAAACAAAAACAAAATGATTGACATTCATATTAGAGATCACATTGAAGTGTCTGAAATGCAAGTATAAAGTGACAACAGTTCACTTT